CATATAACCTATCTTCATATTTACTTCCTTTCTTCTCTTTATATCTCAACTTAAACATCGACCATGCACTCAACATCCCCTTTACACATTGGCCTCGCGCTCTGGATAGCTGCAGCAACAGGCTCCTGCCACCCATCCTCTGCGAAACTCACAAGATGCATTGAGAAGCCATCCATCAACGCCACCGCGGATAATTACCCGGGCTCTGCTTCATCAGTTCACAGCACAACATATCCATACAATGTCACCTGCCTCAATGATGTTCCCGTTGCAGCATCAGCCTGCAAGTCCACTGATCCCGACGAAGCTCTCGCATGTGCGCGCAAATTCATCCATGCCATCGACGAGCAGATCAGCTTTCTGTACGCGCGACGTCTTGGCTACGCTGCAGTCGCAGGAGTAGCCAAGTTCAACAACGGCACGGCTTTGAACGACCCCTCCAGGAATCAGGCCGTTGCTGCCGGAATGGCTGCCAGGGTTCTCAAGTACGGAGGCAGCGAGGAGACTGGCAAAATTATGGGTGGTGAAGGATGTCAGATCTATGCTAGTCTCGAGTATGAGGCTCAGCAGATTCAGAAATGTGGTGGAAAGCTGAACGAGACCTTCGAAAGGGTCTGCAAGTGAGCATCTTCAACATGGGTGCAAACGAGGACGATGTGAGATAGTCTGAGGAACCATCTGGGTGAAGCTGTCAATATGGAAAATAGGGTTGATACGGATGTTAGTGCGAATCTACCTGAGTCTATAAAATTCTCATCATACGAGCCCCTACGGCGGTCAGGCCAATTCAGCAATCGCTCAAACTTTGAGATAATTCTAAATGACCGTTTTCAGGAAGGTGATTTAGCAATGACATCTTTGTAATCTCCTATGTTACAATCGCTTGTTTCAGTAAACTTTAATAAAGTGTCATCGGCAATTATGTACCGTAGTCTGGAGTCTAAACAAATTTCGTGGCCTTATGGTGTCGGCACGTTAACTGGCACTTTCCCGTATGTAACTTTGTTCCTACACCTGTGGAACATTTCTCAAATACTATGAGCACTCATTATCGTTCATTACGAGCTGGCTCTATGGAAGTCGTGGAGGCTATACCGGCAGTTGTCGATGTCGGGGCAGGGCGCTATGCTAAATCGGAATCTAGCGCATTTCCAGGTTCCTTCATCGGAGATTCCCCGTTCCAGTGGTCATAAAAGCGGGATATACCGGCCGCGACCAGCGAAACGAGGAGACCACCAACACAGTCAATGCTGTCGCTAAAAACAATGCCTGTGAATAGCCTCATGTAATAAGGCCATGCTGCGTATATGTCCACCATTGGCGCCTTCAATGAGACACTTGTCTTGCACCGTGTAAACCGGGCTGCCGAAACTTACTCCCAGCATCAGGGAGTTACTACGGTGAGCATACATGCTTTGTAATAGTCTATACGAGGTAAAATCAATCCAAGGAGAACAAGATTTTAAAGTTGATTTCAAGGTTCCAAGAAACGGTGATGTTTATTTTAAGCATGCCATCCACTTTTATCGTCGCGGTATTCAAGGGAGCCTCACTCTCCCTTCAAGGCTGAGACATTGAGGTTCTCCAAGGCAGACATGCCAGACACCATCCCTTTAAGGGAGGATACTGAGCCAAGGGATGTCTTGGCCATGATGACAGATCGAAGGTAATTCTTCAGCAACTGGCAATCTCCCCATGACTTTTCGGTCCTGTGATCATCCTGTCCTTACTCGTGCTTAACCAACATCTGCCCTCCATGTCTTTGAGCACGATATCACACACTCATTTGAACCATGACGATACTAAATCGCTGTCGCTATCAAGCCGACATGGCCATTCCCAAGGCCGTAGCATGGATGTTACGGCGTCGACTCTGCACAGAACCAGTCCTCTCGATCTAGATTTCGCCAAGATTCGACCACTCATTAAATCGGGAGCGTACCTTGAACCGATCGACACAAATGTTCGCACCTCGAGCGACACTCAGGCCGTCTCTCCGACTACACCAAATGATCCCTCAACGTTGAGATTCTCGTCCAACGCTGGCATCATTGAGCACTATTCACAGTCTTGGAATACTCAACACAACCAAGACGATCGAGCAGAGCACGACTTCTCCGAGTTCGAGCAACTCATCGGCCCCACAGCCGGCCATGCTCCCCGGTGGCCATTCATCAATGACGATAGCCTAAATACACCAGTTTCCCCAGATACAGAGCCCTTATTCCTATCCTCCCGTACTCCAATGACAAGGCCAAGGCCAATATACCAGATCCATGAAGGTCTAGAAGATCTCGCCGATCTATATGTTCCGCTACTAGATTCAGTGCCCGAAACTGGGGAGGTAGAAACACAGCCTCCACGACCTCCACCTACACCCCGAACCGGCCACGGCAAGGTCATGACTGCAGCCGAGTTCGAAGCTCTCCAAAAGCGCAAGGCCCGAGAAGAAGCTGAAAGGCGCTTCTACGGCAGCGAAGAAGAGGATGATGATAAAGTAGACTACGAGTGTATCGACGATACCGAGGCTGTGAATAGACAGAAAGCGCAGCGTAAGAAACAACAGGCGTATCTCGATGGCGGCTATCGACAACAGATGATGAAGAGCACAAATGGGCCTGATCTCCCACCATTGCGCGGTCACTCGCGCATCTCTTCGTCGTGGTCTATGAAGTCATTCAAGACGTTTCAAGGTTTGCGAGAAGGCAACACCCCAAGGCATGACAACGAAGATGAGGATGAGGATGTGCCTTTAGCACTACTGCAGATCCAACGACGGTCAGGCAGTAAAGCTCCATCCATCATCAACTTCGGTCATACGGGGAGAGAATCCATCTCGCAGCTCCTACCTCATGACAACATGAGACAAAACTCACGAACACCAATGCCCGCATTTGCAATGGGCCTTCCGCAAGATATATTCGCAGCGGCACCCCAAACTGCCTGGCCTATGAACAACCAGCAACTCATCCCAGGTGGTTTGGTCGGCGTCATAGCGAGCGAAGAGCGTGCCAAGAAGGCACGCCGTGCCCCCCCAAGTACCGGCTTCCAACCTCTGCCTGACACCAACGAGGCTTTCAACTGGGGTCAGGCAGCGACTCAGCCGGTCGGAATAGCGCATTCTTTTGGCCTACCAGGGACGCAAACGCCGATGGCCTTCTCCAGGCCTCAAACTCCAGTTGCCGTCCCTCAGCTGCCCCCACTTACTTCCAACCAAGAGATGTTCAACTTCTTGCAGGCTCAGACTGAGGTTCTGAGATCCATGGCGACCATGAACCAGAGAAGCACCCAACCTTGGAATGCCTTCTCAGCTCAACAGTCAGTCATGAACATGGGGCCACCCGCTGCCGGGTCGGCGTATGCTCCGTCCCTTTATGCCCCTTCGAACTATACAAAGTCGAATTACGCCCCGTCAAATTACGCAAGATCTGTTTATCAACAGCCCGGGGGATATGCAGCCTCGGTGGCACCATCAGAACGCAACACGGTTGGTCTTCCAAGCCGTTACAGGCCAGTCTCCAAAGCTGTGAACCAAACACTTTCGGTAAAAGCGAGCAAGGACGACACGATCTCTCTCAGTAACTGGAACAACAACAGATCTAATATTCCTCGTACTAGTGTTGCCGTTGAGCAAGACAGCACCGATGATGATGACGATGACGCATTCTGGAGAGCGAAAAGGGACAAAAGAGACAGAAGAAGGGCAAGGTTCATTCAGGAGAATGATTTAGGGATAAAGCCAGAATGGATCAACTAAAAGAAGTAAAGAATGCATACAGAAATAGATGGGCATAATATAGCATGAAGAAAAACATGGAATGGGTGGGGATATCATAATCATGGATAAAATACGGGACTATAGTAACCTGATAGAACTAATGATAATAATTCTGACAAACGCATTGAGGCGTTATATTCCTCGGAGAGAAGCAAGTGAGTCAGAACCTGAGTTTTCATCTTACTAGCATTTATAAATTACTATGCACTCTATCTTATATAGAGCTTCGTTAGGTTAAAGAACGAATACTGAAACTAGATCTTTGCAAAAAAAGTTCGAACACTACGCTCAAGGCGCAGGTAATGATTACAATATAAAACAGTGTAAATTTATCTTATTCCGTCTGACGAAGAATCGTCGTACGTCAATGAGAGCGTTCTACCGCTCTGTTGCTCTGACATCTATTTGTGAGTCTTTATGCGGGCTTCCTGAAGAAAGAGTAGATGTCGAAGTATGCTTGGTCCCGGCATTGGGAAACACAGGCGCCACGAGGTCTGACGAAGACCTCGACACAGGGCGAGAGCGACCTGTTGGGTCTCCGCGGGCTGTGGCTGCCAACGCATCGAGCTGCGTCATAGTATCGATCTGTGTTGAAGACCTAGACTTCATGAACGAAGCTCTATCATCAGCCATAAACTGGTATCGTGCATCTGGATTCTTTCGCCAAAACACGAGGGCACTCGATATGATGATCATGAGTAGCAGGATCAGGGAGAAAGCGGCGTTGGCGACAAAGAGAACGATGCCAGTAACAGAGGGACCCATGCGAGGCATGCCGAGAACATTGGTGAAGATGAAGAGGCATATGGCGTTGAGGAAGTTGAGAACGAAGATGGCAATGTTGAAGGAGTTCGTGCTCTTGTCCATGAAGGGGCGCATGACGCTGGTGGCGATTAGAGCAGCGGCTTCGATGAGAATGAGGGCGACTGCCTGGGTAACGCCGCTCTTCTGGCTCAGAGCAACAAACATGCCCTTGACAAAGATGTAGGCAAGCTGGGGCACGATAAAGTAGTAGCCGGTAGCTCGATATTGGATGTACAAAAATCCCCACTTGTTGAGGATTCGCGAGTTCGAGTATAGAGTCACAACCGGGTTGTTGTGTCTCGCTAGTGTGACGATCTTCAAAGCTGCCGCGGTGAGGGTGAGCAGAACCGTGAAAAAGAAGAAGACAGCGAGGACAACGTGCGCAGCCGAGTCAACCTGCGTGAACTCCCAGAGGCAGAGGATGGTGATGGGAGGGAAGCCCATGAGGGTGAGTCTCAGAAGAATTCCCTTGAGGATGGTGCGCCACTCTGTTCGGAACTCGAGGAAGCGCTCTCGCTTGATCCAAGCCTGCTTTGCACACAGGTCGAGAACGAGCTTGAAGAGAAAGACTAGGATACAGGCGAAGACGGTAAAAATACCGAAGAAGACAATGGCAGTCAGGAAGAGGTTCGTTGTCTCAATATGTGAGCGGAACGCCACTCGCTGGATGCCGTAGACCAAAAATGAGCCGGTTTCGAGTTCGATGTTGCCTCGTTTCGAGAAGGCGAAGTCACGGCGGATCAGAGCTGCAGCACCAGGGATGTTTTCCAAAGACCGTTTCACAACTTGGACGGAAGCAGTAGCGAGATTGTCAAAGAGACGAGCTGGCTTACCCCCTGTAGCGCGATCATACCAGGTGAAGATATCTTGCATCCAGCCCATTCGGATGATACCCATAGACCATTGAAAGTTCTGCGTCCAAGCATCCACGATTGGTGGCATGGTAACGGCGGAAAGTCCGATGATAGCCTGAGCCTGGAAGTAACCAAAGAGTGACAAAGTGTTGGCGGCAAGATGAGCAGCTGCATTGCCGTAGCCGGCTAACGAGATGAGTGCTGAAGAGACGAGACCGATTCCAATGATAATGGCAGTGACCCATTTGACTGAGAGTTGCTCGACGGTTTTACCAGTGGAGAAATCAGCCTCGACGCATGCAATGCTCTCGCCCGTCGAGGTCATGTTGATATATGCGCGCACGGTAGCATCCAGGTCAGGAATGCCATACGCGATACCGGGAATCGCATCCAAGGCATTGCCAATTGGGAAGTTGAACTTGATATCGATATCACCAGGTGTCATAGGACATAGGCTCGACAGGTCGAAGCTAGTTCTGCAAGGATCGACAATCTCGTGAATGAACTGATGGCCGTAGGCTTCGAGTGTAACATCAAAGTTTACATAGCCTTGAATAGATGCCAGAGCATTCACGTTGACGGTGGCCAGTGAGTTGTTTGGTGTGACGACAACGTGAAAGAGACTGGCAGTCAATAGGGAACCTTGCTGACAACTGTTGAGCGATTTTGACTCGAGAACCCTGCCGGCCATTGCGGAGGGAAATTGGGCGAGCCATGAGAACAAGATGAGAGACGCTGTGAATAGCTTCATGATTGCGGTGGATTGATGCGGTCGGTTACCGCTGAGATTGACCTGATAAATAAATGCGCCTGCGTGCTTTGAGTTGGGCTTAATGCTGTTGGACTATATGCGACAGTAAAATGCGACGCTGTGAACCATTGTTGATGTTTCGATGATGCGCGAGCTGACAGAATTTCGGCTGACGCGGGGAAGTCCAAATGGCGTCCAGGTCCGGAAAAGATGAAGCGAGAGTGTCGGACACTGTTGAGCCAAGCTATCCCGAGACTGTCCAAGATGTTTCTGCGATGGAAGCGATTAAGTTAATGGAACTGGTGATGGTTCAAGTTGACAATTGATGGAGAAACAAAGACGAGATGGACTTGACGGGGTTGACATGGGAAATTAGAATTAAGCTAACGAGGGGAAACACGCCAAAAGCGGAGACTTTGCCCCGTCTAGCTCTACAATTGGTGCGTTTCTTGTTCCTCAGCATGTTAAAATTGGACGTCGATACGAGGTCTTTGCCAATCACTGACGCATGCGACATCAGATTATCCCGCATCATGGTATTTCCGACCGAATCCCCTCGTATCTGCTCGACCTTGTTGATTGAAGATGGGTGAGTAATAATGTGAGGAATGTGTCAAATCATGGATTGTATGTAGCATGATACACCACCGCAATAAGCATGTTTTGCACTCATCTTATCCCCGCCGACTCTCCTCCCTTGACTCTCAGGGCATACGTCATGAATACCACATCCGTGCACCTAAAAAATGGTGGGTAGGCTGCCTGGGGCTCTGGATTGTTATAGCAAAGGCCCTAAATGTTGGTGGAAATATAGTGGAGTCAATTGGTGAGAGTGCCCTGAAATGGTGATTCCTAGTACTGCTACTGGTAAAGCTGCACTGTGCTGTTGTTAAAATGCAGCAGATTGGTGGCAGCTTGTCTGCATTGCACTGCACTGCACTGTAACTCCCTACCCTGCGTTGGTTCCCAACAGAGCACCTATTTCCACAAACGATCACCGTAAATAGTGATGTTACTTATGATTATTACTCGGTTCTTTCTTGAAGGTACCTTATTATCCAGTAAGTGAGCATAAAGTAACTACGTTGACCTAGACGTTGTTGTGATGTGAATTGAGTTCATAACGCTGATTGGGATAATTCAGGAGCAGTTACTCAAACGACTTCATAACTGAACAACGCCATTGGGAAACATCTTACGGGCTTCGAAAGCACCATGGATTATTTCGTTCTAAAAATGACGGATCATGGAGCTTTGCCGTATGAATACGCATTCTGCTATATAACATCTCAAATCAGGGTCTTCCTCCGGGTTTGGTCGCGGTCTTGACACGACACCTTTTGCCAAAATAGCCCCGGACTGCATGGAAAATAGGGCATTTATCCCAAAACAGTTTCCTGATCTAGAACAGCACTCTATGCGAACTGCCTGATTGAGCTATCGGATGCTTTACGCGATATCCCTGAACGATAGGCCCAATCAACGACTGGTATCAAACCTCGGCGCATAAACTCAGCATCTGTACAACCAACAACCAGTAGTTATGGCGTGTTCCCTACAAAGTGGTTGAACTTCTCCTCACTTCGTTTCTCCCCCATCCGAAAAGTTTACTGGCTGTAGTGCTGCGCCAATCATCACAGTACCATGTCCTCTCATCCGGCTCCCGCAGCAGTCTCATCATCTGAGCAGACTCCTCAGACATCGCTGTCAGTTGCAGATGCAAATACCCCAGAACAACCACTTGAGCCGGCTGCTCCCCACCAACCTGAACAAGAACCAGTGATCGACGATGATTCTGCCTTGAGCGCTGGAGTGTATGGCCTCTTCGGAGGAATGACTTTGAACCATAGCTGACATCAGCAGCGACTCATCGACGGCTTCTGTTGCTTCAAGTATCTTGGAATATCGAAAGTTCAAGGGAAGGTCATATCATTCTACCTACCATGACAGTAGCTATCCGATTCCCACTGACGAGCAAACTCTTGAGAACTTTGATCTGATGTGAGCGAACATTGCCTGGCACCACGTCTGGCACAGAGCAGATACTGATTGGATCTAGGCACCACTTCTTGACGCTGCTCACTGACGATAAGCTGTATCTGGCACCTGTAAAGGACGATGTTCAGGTATGAGAGATAACATACGACAATGAAGCTTTACATGGCTGACATTTCCCGTGACACAGAAAGTACTTGATGTTGGAACGGGAACAGGTAGGTCATGGCGAGCCAACACTGGAAATACAAGATGCTAATCGGCTTCTTAGGGATTTGGGCGATGTATGTACCGTTGATCTCCCGTGTTATCCCTACTAACTGAACTTACCAGAGACTATGCTGATGAGCACCCCAATACCGCTGTCATCGGTACCGATTTATCCGCCGTACAGCCAGACTGGGTGCCCCCTAATCTCAAGTTCGAGATCGATGACTGCACTAAGCCCTGGACTTGGGACGCAAATACCTTTGACTTTGTGCATATGCGTTACTTGTTTGGTGCTATCAGAGACTGGACCGCCCTCTTCAAAGAGGCATACAATGCAGTCAAGCCAGGAGGTTGGGTCGAGTCCTGCGAGTCCGAGCCTATGACACATAGCGACGATGGAACCGTAACAGATGATGGATCAACCGCGCTGGGAGGAACATGGGATAAGATGTTTATTGAGGGAGGCAAAGCAACAGGATGCTCTTTATCTGTCCTCACGGAAGATCTCCAGATGAAGGGTATGAAAGAAGCTGGCTTCGTGGATATCCAGGAAACTTTCTACAAGGCAAGTGAAGAGTCCCATAATATCCTGCACATACTAACTTCTCTCACCTCAACAGATACCATTCGGCTCATGGCCCAAAGACCCTAAGATGGCGGAGATCGGCCAGTACGCGAAGCTCAGTCTGGAATCTGACCTTGTTGGTAAGGCTTCGATCAGATGAAATGGAAATGACCAGCAAGAGAACTGACGTATACCTCAGGATATTCGCAAATGATTTGGCATGAAGTTCTGAAGTGGCCAGCTGACGAGTATCAGATTTTCCTGATGCAGGTACGAAAGGATCTTCGGAACAAGAAGCTTCACCCTTACTTCAAAGTTCGCTTTGTCTGGGGCCGGAAACCTGAGGCCGAACATAAGTGAAAGTCTCAGAATCATCTGGAGTGGGCGTTGATTTTGGAGAGCAAGTGGTATCGCACGTGGTGATAAACATTAGGCTATCAGGGCAAGGAAACTTTGCGTCTTCTTGCTCCCCGAGGGCTATTTAGACCAGAAAGCCGACTACAGGGCTTTACAGATTACACTCTCACATTTTCCTGGCACTGAAAAATCTTATCATGTTAGGGGAAGAAACAATCTTTTCTGATATTATGCGCTTTCCAGTGACTATTTTACATGTCTCAGTCTCTAACCTAGACAAGCTCCAAGGTGCCGTTGTAGTTTCTGATTCTCTCATCAAGAATGATCGAGCTAAGCACCCAGTCTCCATCCCGAGACAGCTCACCCTCAAGTCTCTGGCCTCCATCCACAAGACGAACATGTCGTGCAGATGATCCGAAGCCGCCGCCACCATGGCGACCACCGCCAGGGACCTGCAGCGTCTGTCCAGGATAGATCAGATCAGGGTTGTTGATGCCATTATGTCGAGCAATCTCCTCAAAGGAGCAGTTAAATCGAGCAGCGATGCCTCGAAGGGTGTCGCCTTGCTGGACTGTGACGGAAGAGGAGCCACCATGATGGCCACCTGCGGACCAACGGAAGCTTCCTCTGTCGTTTTCGAGGACCTTGTCGAGGGAAATGGATGTGTGTTGGTAGTCTCCATCCTCGCGCTTGCAGGAAGCGTGTAGAACGTAGTCGCCGTGAGCATCGAGTCTGATATCTCGAGACGAGGCGGTGAAGTTACCGGCGTAGTGACCACCACGACGTCGGTTAGAGCCACGAGAGGAGCTTCGGCTTCGGCTTCGACTTCGGCGGCGATGATGGTGAGACTCATAACGATCGGCATCACGGCGCTCCTTTCGTCTCCTCTCCTCCTCTTCCTCGCGTCTCTTCTCTTCCTCCTTTCGGCGCTTCTCCTCTTCCTTCTTCTCATCTCTCTCATCCTTCCAGTCTCCAGCGGCGTCTTGTAGCTTGTGACCGCCAAACGCACCAGCCAAAGCTCCGACGATGGTGCTGGTCTTGCTATGTCCGGTGACTCCGCCCATCTTGTGACCACCGAAAGCTCCAGCTGCACCGCCTGCAAGGGCTCCCATTACGCCACGCTCACCATCGGGACCATCGCCGCCGTCAAACTGGCCTTGAGGTCCTTGGTTGTATGCAGGAGGGCCCTGCTGGTATTGTCCGGGTCCAGACTGTCCACCAGGAGGATACTGAGAGGACTGAGCGGACTCTGAGTAGTATGATTGTGAAAGACCCGGGCGGTCTTGCTGATAACCTCCTTGTTGAGGACCACCCTGTTGGTAGCCTCCCTGTTGTTGACCGTACTGCTGAGGACCGCCTTGTTGATAGCCGCCTTGATCATTGCGACGTTGGTCGTCACCGCCATATCCGCCCTGGCCCGCGCCATCCTGGTTATACCCAGGGTTCTGCTGCTGGAAGTTGACGTTGTGGCCGTAGTAAGTCATTTTGATTGAAGATATTTTGAATACCAAGAAGCGGATTCTGCTTCATCTGTCGGGAAGCAGCTTATATATGCTAACTACCGAGGCGGAGGCAAAGATGGTCTTCCCAGCCACAGTTGACGTCTCCATCAACCCTTCTGACCAAACCCAATCGGAGAGCCTGAGACTGGGAAATGTGGATTATCATGAGCACAGCCTCAGAAGATTGAGTGATGCCACGTATTGTCTGCGGAGGCTTGAGCGACGCTTGGCCCTCTCTTCTCTGGTCATTGCTGTCTTGGCGTTTGGACTACCGTTGACGGTTGCGAATGAAGATGCAGGGATTGGTATTTTTAGAACAGGAGCGTCGTCATGTCCATGGAACACTGCATATGGAGTGTTGCCACCAACTGTCAGAATCCCCAACTGAAGAATTTATTGGTTTGCAACGAGCCTCTAACTTGTGAGTTTTGGTTTCAGATGCAGACGCTGTGTATGTATCAAGCTTGTTTGTTGTTGGTGTTTGGTGTCTTCTAACATGCGCCAAGCCCCCAAGCGGCTAAGGCGGCAAATTGCCCAGCATCGGTCCTGTCCGTGCTTCCATGGGGCATCTTGCGGTCTGGTAAGGCATTTTCCAACGAAGGACAACACTGTCGCTAAAGGTGATCATGTATCTGCGTGCCAAGAGAGATATTAACACATACTGTAAATCACTATGTGACAAGGCCTCTCCACCACAAAGCTTGACTTCTAGTCCCGACTAGTTGTGCTCCGCTTCGACAAGGAGAATCGGGCCCACTGGACATTCGTAAGTTTTAAGGTTTCGCATGATAAGAGCGTACTAGAAAAGCAGAAATACTCTTCGCAACTGACCGGTACGGTATGAGGGCGCCATCATACACCCGAATGCCTTGACCTACAATTTAGCTGTATGTTAGGATATGAAGGGCACTTAGCAGAAACAATGGCCAACAAGGTAGAAGTAAGCTGCAACTGAAACTCCGATATCGATAGAGTTCGTATATGGTATTTCTCTTCTGAGAAGGGGTATCCTAAACTAGCTAATCATTCTAAACCGTCATCATACGAAATACCATCCTCTTTCCCAACCACATGATAGTAAAGAGGAAGCTAAAGAGACAAGAGGCAATACCAAGAACCCATGCGCCTTCTATAGCATAATTGGAGTGCCACTGCTTCGTAGTTGCACTGACTATATCATCAGCGTTGATCAAGTCAACTCCCTCGTGATTGAGTGTCCTCCAAACGTAGTTTCTTCGGGATACAGGCCAGCCTGGTAGCTCCCAGTATCTCGACTTCAGGTTCAACTTCTTTGCAAGTTGAATCTGACTTGCGAGCTTCTTATGTTGTGAATTGCTGAAGTACGGGATGACAGTTCCGATAGCTCTGAACAGAGATACAGAAGCTGTGTAAAACTCATTCTCTTCCACTTCGCGACAAAGCGCGTCGTTTCTCTCGCAGAATCCTGGATGGGATAGAAGATCCAATGAGGCGTCGAGAAATACGTCGTGGTATTGTCGCCACTTTTGTAGATCGGATCCGATATTCACATCCCGCCTCTTGCCAATATTGCCGGTTCCGACGACAGTCAGCGGGCCGTAATGAAATGTCTGGTCTGCCGGCGTTGATCCATTATTTTGGTGATATGAAAGATATCCCTTCTGCCTCAAAGGTTCCAAGTGCTTCAGCACTACCGGCCAGGTCTTCTCTGATTCGTTCTTGACATCGATGAATAGAATTAGTGTCTTGTTTGGATGGCTAGCAAAAACACCAGAACGGTATCCCTGGCCCTCAAGTTCACCCGGCAATTGTGGGGAGTTAAAGGAGTCGAGTATTGCCAGCAATGGCTCAATGTAGAGAGAGTTTAGGGTCCTCTCTGGTGTGAGATTCCACCAGTGATGGCCGACCAGGAGGTCTTCACCATTCTTGCTGAGCCAAACGTCGGCCTCAACACTCGCACAGCCAACAGATAAAGCAGAGAATAATGGCCGTGGCCTCAAGTAGTCGTTGTGAGAATGGACCATAACTGGAGTAACTTGAGGTGACAGGACTTCAACCCATCTCTTGGCACTCTCTATAGTATCGCCGTACTTCTCGATAGGGTCGGCCAGGGCAAAGCCAGAAGTTTCAAAGGTGTGGACAGCATAGCGCTCGATAACAAACGTCATCAAGAAGAATGCGATTCTGGTCAAGATGTCAGCCCATACATGCGACGGACAGTTAAGTCAGAACTGACAGGATTAGACATGCTCCAGCAAAAGCCGCGAGAAACCGACCTAGCCATTTCCTGCGGCTTCTTATACCTAGCCTTCTTCGCAAAGAACAGCATGCTGGGTAGGACTGCAGGTCATCTTCATTCGTCGGGCTGGAAGGCCGAAGAGGTCGATACTCGATATCGTCCTTGTCAGTCTGGCTACAAAAGTAGCTCGAGAGATTCATGATTCCTGCAATTGGGGCAAAGAAACACGGACAGCACAGACGCTTGCTATGACTGTAACATTCTCGGCCAGACGAGGACGCATCTTAATGTATAAGAATTAACGAGAGAAATGCGAAAAATACCCGCAAAGTGCCGAGTTGATCATGTGGAGGCTTCTGATCTACGGCTAGTTCCCGGGAGGCCGTATTACAGCTGGTCTACATCCCACGTGGTTCCACCATGAGACTCTTGACCGACCAATCCAATTCATCAGTTCAACCACGAAGGTTTAGTTTGGACAATAACTCAAGCTTCATTCAAGGTTTTTGGCGATCGGGCTTTGGCAGATGGCTTTGTCTAGACTATTGAGATGGATGCGATAAGCACACGTGTGTTGATGAAGGGACGCGATGCCTCACGCACGAGTGAAAGGTTGCATTGAAGAAATCAACGCTGATAAGAGAAACAAAACAGGCTTGACTAACACGAACCTGGTTTTTTAGTCTATACTAGTGAGTCCGCTACCTCTACCATGCAGTCTCTTCGGTAGTGCAAGCATGTACTGGAGATCCCCAACTTCACCACCACCGTTTAGTGGGTAGAATATGGTGCGGTTATATACTGCAGCTACAGCTTACACTGTCACATACGACCAAAGGTAGTGNNCAGCGAATCCCCGCTGTTGTATGTTATTTTTGCGAATCTTACATTTTTACAGTCTTCAAAGTAAAACTCAAATATGCCTGTTATGTATGCGTAAACGGATTAAGAGTTGATGAAAGCTCATGTTATTGGCCGATACTTCTGCAGCTAATATTGCCTTTTTGTTAAATCTATCTTGATACTGTTTTATAAGCATTGTAGTAATCCCACTGATGCTAGGTCTCTCTTTCTAATAGATTCTCTTTTAAAGTATTTGCTTGCAAATATACTCTTCCTTGCCTCTTAGATAGTAGGAACTAAGAAGAGACAATCTTGCCGACTTGTTGTCAGTCGTAACCTCGATAGTCTCTGAAATTCAGGAGCATGACTACTAGGCTTACTTTGATATTATCGATTCCAACTTGTCTAACTCGAGGCTTCTGAATAAAGAGCTATAATACTTACTCCGCTGCATCATGACAGACATGCCCCTTGTCATATCGGTGCGCTGAGACCACTTTGCTCTCCAGTGGCCATGACTAGAACGCTCATCTTAGCGATGCTTCTCATAACGTCACATGTTGGATAGCCCTGTCATGGAACCACAATCATCATCATGGCTCTGAATAATGGCAATGTTGCATAGAATGGATCTGTATCGATAGAGCCAATACGAGTTTTTATCATCATGTGCATACGCAGTGCTGAGCTGACTGCAGAGTCGAGATCTGGCGTCAGGGGCAGATCACTAAAATTCACGATCTTGACAATGAGTCGCCCCTGATCAATACTTGTTCGAGATGATCGAAACCATCGCCGATCGATATAGTTGTAGATAATAATAGGAAGTATTGGCTCAAGCCCTCTCCTAGGACCAACCGCGAAAGGTAGATAGAGTGGCACTGTCTTGTTGCGAAATAGAGTGGCCCTGCGACGACTCAATTTCGGGAGATCCTCCAGAAAGAACGGATCACGAGAGCCTATTTTTATATGATGCTCATCCTCGATTCGTCCACGGATGCGATGCAAAATCTCATGCTGCTCCAGATTGACTGCAGCTGACGGCAGCTCCCTTGCCGTGACGGGTTTCATATGGTGCATCGCAAGGTCGCTCGGGACGACCCTGGTTGGTCTCACCACCGTGCACGTTGTGTGAAGTTGGATCTCTTTCATTTTGAAGTGCGAGCCTGGTTGTTCCTATTATCATATCGTATATGGTGGGGAGGAAAGGTATTTATACCTTTTGACGTGATATCCCCGTTACTTTTGCTTCGGTAAATTCTCCGCACAAGTCTATGACTAGCCCAGAGAGAAAGAGCATATTCTTATAATAGGCTTTAGACAAGGCATGTCCAATTTTAGAGTTCAAGGCAACAGAACAGTTGGCAATCTATTACCTTGCTGCCGATTGAGATATGTAAGACAGGGGAAAACTCCGCATCAGTCTGTCAATTTGACATCTTAGTCTCAAGCCGGAATCTTTCTTGCTCCCTCCGGTATAGCCGACATCGTAGTATCGGTACTACCTTCTTCTAATGGCGAGATGTCGTTTGCGTTAGCTAGTAATTAATCCTGTACTATAGTAACTCCTAAAGCATGCTATTAAATTCTAGAAGCTGTAAGACGGAACAATGTCATCCCATTGAGTCAAGCAGTTGCCTATTTCGTAACTGTTGGTCGACAACATTCTACATACACGTGACTCATATGACTCAAGGCAACAACCCCGCGAGATGTCGTATCATATATATTTATGTCAGCTTTGTCTTTAAGACTCTCATTCTTTGATGAGTCCCATCATCAACTATCATTCTCAATAAGCCATGCCAAGCTACTCAAGTGACCAGTTACTGAAGGATTGGCGGTATGCCATCAAGCAAGACTTCACTACATCTCAAGGGAACCCTTTCCCATATGCCAAGAACGGCAAACAACAATGGGGTGATGAGATCAAGAAGATCAACTTCGAAAGGCAGCCTCACATTGGTTCTGTGAGCAGCAACGGAAAGTATCTTGCTCTTGCAATCGACCATGCCATCCATATCCTCGATACCCAGAGCTGGGATACTGTTGCAATTCTGAGGGGTCATTCAAACAAAATCGAGACCTTGTCATTCAGAGCCAGCCGTTCAGACGTGCTGGTCTCGAGTGAAGAGCAGGTATACGACGATTCGGGTCATACTGAACCACCTACGATCATTCTGTGGAATATTGAAGAAGAAAGGTCGGTACTGAGACTGGGTGAGGACCACTTACGAGGTGCCAGTCAGGCAGCTGTTTCAGCTGCTGCAGACAAGTTAGCGGCAGCCGGTATCAATCTAAGTAAGAACGAACTCCGCCATCTAGAGGGAACTGTCGGACCTGCTGTCAGTCGCACTGTCTCCAAGCACATCGCAGCGAGTAAGGTGACCATAGAAGGACGACTGCAGTCAGCTCACGGATCTCAAATTTTCAGCCCTTCAGGAAATTGGATGACATATTTGCCCGGAGAGTCACCTATCTCGAATGGCGACGACCCATGGGACATTCAGATCGTTTCTCCGGACGATCTCTCCAAGAGTCTGCTCCTGAAAGGACACACTGATGCAATCATGTGGACAGGATGGAGCCCTGATGAATCGGTCTTTGCTTCTGTATCATGGGACGAGTCCATCCGCATTTGGGATGCTACTACAGGAGAGCAAAAGTACAAATTCAAGACCGAGGGGCAGAACTGGGCTGGTGCTTTCAGTCCTGACTCGAACTACTTCGTAGCAACGGATGGACCAAGTAACGTATGGGCCTATTCCCTGGCTGACGGAGATCAGCACTGGGTCTACAAGGGGCAACGTTCTGATCGCTGGAGAAGGACTCTTGCATGGCACCCAACCAACCCGTGGCTCGCTGTAGGTGGGGAGAGCAGTGGCGAGCTACTTCTCTTCGATATTGGTGAGAAGAAATTACTACAGAAACGGCTATTCTCTACAAATGCTTGTCCAGTTGACAAGGAGTCTCGTGATATGATGCAAGACTTTATTGGGACCTTGGAAATGAGGTTCTTCGATGGTGGAAATAAGCTTGCTGTTTGGACTTTCGGTGACTGGAGTATTGAAGTGTACGACCTCAAACAGGAAGTTAAGTGGCGGTTTGCAAGAGGTGGAACACAAGATGGGCCCGATGCTGGCAAGTGGAGGGATGAACAGGGTAAGGTTACTAGTAAAGGAGGGTACGAAATGTTGGCTTGGGAGGATCACTCGAAAGGTTCCCTGTTTCTTACTAGCATCGACTTCGATGCTGTCCGCCTTTGGGAGGTACCGCTGACGGCATAAACCTTCTGTTTGAGTGCACATGAGCCGATTCAACACCAGCCATGGTGTCGATATCCGCTCACTTCCATTCAGAATAGGGTGTGAGAGATCCCTGAACATGGTCATGGAGGTTGGGCGCTTTTAGGCACAAAACCGTGAATATAGTTTAGCTACAGGACAAAATAATGATGATTCATACGGATTTATCGGGAAGATTAGTCAGTGCCCGCAGAAGTTCCAACTCTGAGCCCGTTGTCTGGGGTTGTCACTGTTCACAACCTTTCGCTCTGATATCGAATCTTCTCTAATCAGTCTTGCTTCATCTATTCCATATGGATAGTCCACCTCCCGAGTTATTGCATCTCTGATTTCACTAGGAAGGCAATTGAGAGGTTCTGAGTACCTGAGCTCATCCTTCCGCCAATGCTTTTGTTGAGGGGGCACGTTGACTGTCGAGATGATCCGGATGACTGGGTCAACAAGAAACGGAGCGACAATCTTGCGATAGCCAGGGCGAGTCTTGTCGGCTAACTCAAAGGGTTCAACTCGATGCTGATAGATATTGGGGAAAAACAAAGCTCGACCTTCTTGAGCGATGACGCTCCCGAGATCCTGTATCTTATCCTTTGGTTTTGATGGCAAAGATCGCTTCAATATCATGGTGATCTCCCCGAGAGTAACTAAGCCTATCTCTTGAGTTGTCTCTATCCGCTTGATTACGGAACGAAAGACGAAACTCAGTGATGTTGTCGCTGTCATAGTAGAACAGTGCCGTGGCGCAGATATACTCATTGAGTTGCCCTTCAACGTGCCACGAGCCACGCTCATACTTGGGTTTCTCAGGAGTCAGATGTATATTCGCCATCTAGACAATGACTTGAATCTGAGAAGCATTGTTGAAGAATCCTTCGGTTTCGAAGTGGGATGCGCCAAGAGCGTATGTTGCATCTTCCAAGGGTTCTGGGCATTTAATCCTGTGAGTTTCTGATCACCATTCCCTGTTCAGCCGTTCGCCCTCTTCAAATACAGAACTAGTCTCCGAACCACTGTCGTAATCCTCTCCTTGTACGAACAATCTGCTACTCGGATAGAAGCCATGCACCTTCGCACAAATCTCGGGCACGTTGCACGTCCACTTGACTTCGTGAACGGTACCGAATCTCTTGAATCCAAACTCCTTGCGAGCTGAGCGGCATATTGTATCCCAAGCTGGAAGGGATTTCGCAATGAGCTCTTCGACAAGAGAATATACGGATTTGTACTGGACAGGGTGACGATTGTTGATGTAGCTCTTGATTTGTGGTCGACCACCTGTCAAATTTTCATCGAATGGAAGCCATTGATATCGTAGCGACAGAGCTCTCTTATCACTATCGTCAGTGGATGATTGAAAGCATTGGGCATTCTGAGATACGGCCTTTAGGCTCAGGGATGATTTCTCTCGAGCCGCAATGATCAAGGCATTTGTCCAGGGTTACATATTTGCTAGAAATGATTCGAGATCGGCCAAACACCAACGGCCAGAGTGAGGGATGAACAAGGTCCAGAACCTTCTCGTCGCTTCCCAGATGCCAGTCTCGTTGGGACTCAGGAACGTCTTCAAGTAATGCGGCCGCAGCCCTGAGCCTCTGCATTAAGTCGTTGGAGAGAAGCGCGTCAGACTTGATGGCACAAGCGGAAGATTCCATCACCGGTATTAGCTTCGTTTGTTCGTAAATTCCAGCCTTCATTGCAAGATCCTTGAAGCACTGCACAGCGTCAGCCACAAAATACCATCAGTCGGTCCTACTGGCACTTACCACGTCTGCCATTTTGCTCGTAAAATCACCGTTGTGCTGATAGCTTGCCCATGGCATTTGCAACGCTTCTTGCTTCCATTTGGAGACAATATCAGCATTCAAGACTTTCTCCCACCAATGTGGCTTGTTTGTAATGTACTCCTCCAATTTCATCATGCATACTTCATGGTTCATGAGTGTTCGAGACTTCCAATCTTCTTCAGGCAAGCCAAGAAGGAAAGGCTGGCGTTTCTTGTTGTCTATGCCTAAACTCAAGGGGAGACCATACCCTGGAAGCCTGAGATCGCTACCTCCTTTCTGAGCTCAACGACGGATTAGTGTATGATCAATGTATTTGCCTTGGTGATCCGAACTGTTGAAGGTTTTGGACCTACAGCTGTGCCATCCAATAGCCTGTGTAGCCAGAAACGCTGGGTTTCATTGCTAAGAGAGCTGTTATCCGTTATGTGCTTGCCGACCAGTTTGTGGTGTCTGGCGTGCACTTCTTCGATGGTGGGCAAAGACTTCTCAAATTCGTCTATCCAGGCAATCAATTGAGCGATTTCTTGATTAACGACAAATTCTTCATCATCGCCACCATCCTCATGGTCCGAGTCTTCCCACTCTTCGAAAATGCGAGTATATACATACTCATTGCCTACCTTTTGAAGTGAGTAGCGATGCATGTTGAAGTTTGACGGAGTTTATGTGAGAGAAGGGACAGAATTGCCCTCGTGGTTGTTGGTTATATTTTCATCGTCGCTTACAGGCTATCTACACATGGCCAACCCTGCGCTTTGACCAGACATGGCTCAACTGATCCGAAAGCACTGCCGTTATATGGAATGAAGAGATAAAGCAAAGCAGTTGCTCCTGTGCTTTAGCATTTTTCTAAAATAGCAAGATCACGAAGCCTGGGTGTTCAAAGGCTGGACTGTCAAATCATTCATAAGTGACTTCAACTTGAGATTGGAGTCAGAGTGCTCTGTGGCTATGGTGAGGCACAGCACAGGATGGCACCAACTGGGGGTGTCAAAATGAACTGGTCGAAGAGAGTATAAGTCAATACTAGGCTTGCCTGCGTTATTTAGTCATCTAGGACACTGGCCTAAGCGGGATAACATTTGCTCCGCTCCGTCGGCAATTCGCTGCTGACTGTGCCAGATCGTCTAGCAAATTTCCGTATTTTGGTAGAGCTTCGAAGCAACTTGTCCACTCGTTTTCGACGCATTTGTGGAGACTTCTACAGTCTCGCGACAGAGCCAGCGAAACGCGAGGTCATTGAACGGAGAATGCTGATTGGCCATAGTGCCCCGAGAATCGAGCGAGATGATCTTCAAGGCTGAAGTTGATGATGAGGATTGCGAATACAGCCGAGGCGATGCTCAAGGCTTCACTTAAAGATCAAGTCAATATATATAAACGATGGACAAACCTTCAACCCATTTCTCAAACATCATCACTCAATCAATACAGAGCATTCACTCAACACATCATTCTAACTTGACACCACCCTCTAACATTCATCACCAACACAATGGCCACTCATACCATCCGCAAAGTCGTCTACTCTGCCTATGGCGGTCCCTCCAACGTTAGCGTCGTCACAGCTCAAATCCCCCCTCCAGCAAAGAACGAAGTCCAAGTCGATGTCATCTACTCAGGCTTCTCTGGCGCCGACATCCAGATGCGACTTGGCACATACCCCATGCAAAAAGCGGCACCTTTGACACCCGGCTACTGCTTCGTTGGTCGCGTCAGCACTAACGGGGACAAGTCCTCCAAATTCCGGCCTGGTCAGCTCGTTGGCGCTCTTAGCGTGTACGACGCTGAGGCTCAGAAGATCAATATCCTCGAAAAGTACTTGATCGCTATTCCCGAGCGCGTTGATATGCAGGAGGCGGTCGCTGCTTTTCTTGACTGGAACACTGCTTACGGTCTTGTTCATCGCGCGACGAATTTAGTTGGCAAAGGTCAGCGCGTCTTCATCCATTCCATCAGTGGAGCTGTTGGCTATGCCATTATGACCCTGTGCCTGCTGGAGGGCGCTGAAGTCTACGGCACCGCTTCAGAGCGCAACCATGAGTCTCTTCGCCAGCTCGGAGTGACACCCTTTACCTATGCCAACAAGAACTGGGTTAGCGAAATGAAGCAGCGCGGCGGTGCACACGTAGTCTATGACCCAATTGGTTTCGAGCACTACAATGATTCATGGGACATTCTCATCACCGACGAGCCCTCGCGTCTTGTCGGTTTCGGTGGTAACATGAACATCCTCCAGGGCGACGACGCCAAACCGCGATCGCAGTATGTCGGAATGGCCAAACTTCTAGCCAAGAACGGCTGTTTGTTTACCAAAAGAAGCACATCCTTCTACTACATTGACCGCGATCGCGCGACATTCATGGAAGATCTTCAGGCTGTCATGAATCTCCTCATCGATGGAAAGGTTGAGGTACCGATCAAGAAGGTCTGGGATTTGGAGAACGTGCGCGAGGCCCATGAGACTTGGGGTAAGGTCCCTGGAATGGGTTCATGCTTGATCCGTGTCGACCCCAATGCTCCTTGAGCAGGGAATACTGGTGGAGGGTTGGACACAGCTGTTGTCATTTGGTTCATAGCATTTCCTTGTTAGATTGCCTGTATACGAACTTCCCTTTTTGTTTCACTCATTGACCCGCCATTCGTCTACCGTGATTTCGATCTTGAAGCGTTCTTGAAGGAAAAGCATCCATACGTCAATGGCGCTCAAATCGTGATGGCCTTGGGCCACTGTTCAGGCTTCTTAGTACTACAGTGCCTCGCATGGATTACCCTTTACAGGACTGGAGGCTTCTAAGTTCTCTCTGCTGATTTGAGCTCTCAGCCACAGGTCTCAACTGCAAATAACACATCTAGCTCACCTCTGTAACAAACCCGCGGTATCGGAATCGGCTTTACAGCCAATCAGATCCCATAGAATCCCCTCGGCCTCGTCGGCGCGATGGGCTTGCCTCGGAAGCCTGCCTCAACAAGGGGTCTTATTGTGTGCTTTGCAGGATATATAAACCACCTTCTATCAGCCAGAAGTTCGACATGAATGCACATCACACTCTTCTCGACATACTAAGAAGTTGATTATCTTCTCAATGGCAGGCTTCAACACAGTCCTCTTGATCACAGGGGCCTGGCACGTCCCTGATCACTACCACAAACTTATTCATGAGCTGGAGAGCCATGATATAAGAGTCATCTGCGAACGCCTTCCAACAAACAATAACGTTGTACCGCCAAACAAAACAATCTAAGATGATGTCGACTTCATCAAAGACATCGTCTCCAAAGAAGTTGCAGCAGGCACGCATCTCACTGTCATTGCTCACTCATGGGGAGGTATGCTTGCTTCTGCAGCTTTGGCGGATTTTGTTGTCTCCCCCAAGTCAAAAGAAGGAGGTGTCACTGACATGATCTTCATTGCCGCCTTCATTCCTTCGGAAAATGATTCATTGGCCGGCCTCTTTGGTGGAAAGCTGCCTCCTGCACTAGCTCCTCAATCTGACGGAACTCTTGTGCCGACTGATCATATTCATCTTTTTTTTCATGACTTACAGGAGGAGGATGCTCAGTGGGCCAAGAGTATGCTGGTTGCCCATGGTACGCATATCCAATACGCTCCAATTAATTGCCAGAAAGTGGCATGGCGTGTTGTTCCATTGACGTATATCATTTGCGAGGAGGATCGAGGATTGCTCAGTTTTTTGCAGGAGGGCATGATTGAAAAGGTTGAAGAACAGGGGGTCGTCGTTCAGAAGTATCGGTTGCCTTCCTCTCATAGCCCTTTCCTTAGCATGCCCAAGAAGCTTGCCAGCATCGTGTTGGGGGCCATGAACTCATAATAAATGTCAAGATTTATTCATAACTACCATGCTCGGTTTACCTCAATCCTGTCACTTACGAGCATATTGTAGTAAATCTAGTATGCTGTCACTTACTAGAATCCTTGGTCTCAGGTCACTGGCTCCTAGCAGCCATTCTTTGATGGAGAGAGTATCATTCCATAAGTAAATACAAAGGAAAATTAAGAAATAATATGAATCATAAGTTATACTTCTACAGAGTTGTAACAGCTGAACAGAACCATAGATCTTGCCACTGCCGTGAGTGTCATGATAACACCATAAGTCGCTTGAATCATGGGATCATGTAGTGAAACACTGTTTCTTGGGATATCACAAACTAAAAATGCAATAAAAGGATAATGATACACCCTAAGAATAATATCTTGTCTTGGAGGGTAGTTTCAAAGCTTTTCCCCTGATTCAAAGCACATTCCCTGTCATGGTAAAGCGGCATAGATACATGGCTAGGCGCCATGGGGAACTATATCAATTTGCTATAGCCATGGAATGTCAACTATCTCTCGCTACCGTTGCCGCGGCCGTTCGATAATCCGGAGGCAGGGCTCCGCCTTGCTGAGTATGCGGTTGCAGTGGAGTCCGGAGCGCCGTGCGATATGTCGGAACTTTGCTAAGTTCGGCAAATTCTTCTGGGTTGGTAGACACAGTTTCGGATGAGCTGCGCGATGGGTCGTGAGTCTGGCTGGACTGTGAGGATTCAAATGTGTTGGAGCTTTCGTATGTCTGACTCTCATTCGAGTCTGTGTGATGAGGAGTGCTGGTACCGGATCCTTCTCCCTCGCCTTGGTGAGTGCCTTGGCCAGGGATCTGCCAGTCCTCCAGACTGTCGTATAACTGGTCGAGAATATGTTCTCCATACACCGGTGGGCCTATTAATTCGCTTGGTGGTCCTTGTGTACTAGGGGCTTGGTCTATCAAGTTGCCTTGGTCGTCAAGAGTGATGGACGGTGAAATGAAGATGTTGACTGGAATGCCCAAGTCAAGCTGAGAAGTTAGCATTTGCGCTGCGTGTCGTGAAAATGGCTGACTTACATGCGAGACATGACCGTCTTGGTTCCGAATGGGTATGTGTATCTTGAGTTTGTGGTAGACCCTGATGCCTTGTGCGTCTATGTCTTGGATGCATTCGCTCAGCTTCTTCGGTAACTGCAGTGTCTTCTTCATGACCCATCCCTCTTGACCAGTTTCCTCTATAGTGTCCTGCCAGTTTTGCTCTCTTGACATCTCAAAGTCCCATTGAGAAATCTCTCGTTTGCTTTTGTGTTCTCTTGTGTAAATATAGTGTCTGCTGTGCATGCTGAACTCTTGAAACTCCACCAAAGTTGCGACGATCCTTTCAATCTCGAGTCCTTTGACCAGTGGTGTAAATCGCGTTTCGAGAACAATAGACCCTCCGAAAACAGCAGCTTTTGTCGGTATGGAGACAGAGTAGTCGACTTTATTGATCCATGTCTGCTCAACGCTCATATTGTGCATGAACTCCAAGGCAGTCGGCGCAAATGTGCGGATGATTCGAAGCTTCTTGGTACAGCTGATATGTCGCGCCAGCTTGCCTCTGCTGATCGTTGCTCTCAAGCCATATGTGATGGAAGCATCCCGGATACCCTCGAGGCTTTCGGAAGTATCCCCTGCCATCATCAGTTCGAAGGGCCACTCGTAGTTGCCAGCTGGTAGAGTGACACTCTTGCCGCCTGTTTCCAGCAATGAGGGCCATTTGTGCTTCATGATGCTGGTGTTGTGGGCCACGCCGGGGTCGTTTAGCCATGCATGGCGTACAGTACCATCTAGGCGAAGTCTGACTTCATCAAGCTTGAGCGGCGACTGTAGACACAGGACTACGACGCCCTTGAGTAGTTGATCTGTTGATTCATATCGGCTGCCCCAAAAGACGACAAATTCGCGTTCAAGTCTTGTTGCTATTTTAGTAAATACTCATAAATTGTGTTCTCTGGATACGTACCTGATCTCGAAGAGGGAATACGGTGTTGATGCTACGCCGCTGAAAGCAGCAGCGAGAGGCTGGTTATTGTGTTGGTTCGTCGACGAGGCTTGCATGATGCTGACAGAGGCCTATGCAAGGTTTGAAAGAGTTAGTCTAGTGCATTTCTCCAAAAATGAGGCTGAAGGGTTTTCGTAATAAAAAGAACAACATGTCACTGTGAGTTCGTTTCGTTGGGGCAATTGACAGTGTATATCTCTGAACCTCGGCATCCGCGTGGGCCGATACGGAGTAGACGGACGATAAGAGTCTAGTTTAGCTGGCCATGAGCTGATCTGACGATGCAATCTAAGTCCGGCACGGAACGATCGGCGACTGAATCAGCCCGATGCATCAACATTCCATTCATCCCGTGACACGGCACTTCGGTTTGTTGTCCTTACCCGCTGGGGTTTAGGCTGCGATGCCCCAACAACAACAGTGCTTGGTTTTGCATGTGAAGGGATCCGCACTTACACCGCGTGTTTTGTTGTGATTCCAGAACATTTATGCATGAGAACCTTGTTTTTAATTGCATATGAAGACTCCACATTATTTCCGTAATCTAGAAACCCATGTGAAGAGTATTTATGGACGGAAAACTCTCTGCATGTGCCTTCGAGCTCTGCTTCAGCTATCATATGAAGAGCTTGACACGTCACTCACTACCGCATAAGCTTACTGTGTTGCATTTTTTCTTGTCATATATAACGTCATCCGCAAGAAGGATTAATAGAACTGATTTCAGTATGGTACGTCTTCGTGCAGAAGCCTCATAAATTGCTGGTTACTGTGAAACCAATCGCCAATCTGGAACGACGCATCGTATTCGGCCCCGATTGCAGCCCCAGTCGCGCCTATGTCGTCCACAGCATTTATTCCCTCGGTGTCAATCATTGTGAAGTCGCTTGAGTTCGAAAGAGATCCGCTCGCGTGTGAAAGCTCGGGGCATGCTTTGGCACTCAGTCGCGCGGCTTTGCTGAGAAGTTCATAAAGTCGATGCGGATGCGTCGCTGGTTCTGAATGGCTAGACTCCGACTTGAAAGATGATGCGAATCGGTCTAGGCGCTCAAAGTCCTCCGTAATAGAGTATCGCACTGCATGAGTGAAGACGATGCTGAATGGAAAGAAGGGTGTATGTAAGTAAGATAGCCCTGTCAACAAGTCAGCTGACGGTAAGAAATACGGCTGAAGAATAGTCTGCTTACCAGTTTATATATCTTCGAATCAACAGAGGATCTTTGCATCCGTTGACTAGTTTCATGCACTGGTCATGCAAGTCTAAAGTGTTGCGAGCAACAGTCAGACAGCTTTCATGGACCTCCATACCTTGGGAGCCAGGCAGCACCCTGAGAACCATTGCCGTCAAAGCTGATTGGCAAACGAGATCACAATGGAGGTATATGACTTTCATAGGGTCATTATTCATATCTACACTCTCCGCCAAAGCTTGCTACATACCATGTCAGTCACAATCGCAAAGCGGAAAGGGTTAACACGTACTGCGATCTCGTGATGAGTCTCATCTATAATCAACTGAAGCTCCTGTGCAAGAGCCTTAGCTACCTCGCAACGCGCAGCGCTCGATGTGTTCAAGCCCTCAGTGCTATATAGTTGGTTATATGCCTTTCCCTGTATCCGCCCGAGACGAATGGATCGATGCTGATTTGCCTGGCGTGGCGACGATACTTCAGAGTCATGAACAGCAGAGTATCGTCCCAGCCTCAATGAAAGGCCTTTTTCATATGCGTAAACGACCCAGAATAAGTCGGACTGCATATGGTGATGGCCATCTTTAAGCGAGTCGAGTCGGTGATAGCCTAGTGCCTGGCACAGCATCATAGCGGTCGAGATCAATGTCCACGACTGTGATGCTCGACTCTCCTCGACCAAGTAAATTGCCTTTCTAACATTAGCTCTTGTCTTGGAACCACAGGTGAGGCGAGCATACCCCAAGAGCCAGCGCGGCGATCAATTCCATGCATGGCGCCGCCAACAGAGTCAATTTCGTAAGACCTTGGCCAACCTTGGATCGATAAAAGCGACAGTACTCTTGTGACTTCGCATCTCCGTGAATGACAGCATATTCAGCAAATACGTAAGATAAGAAACTATTTGCGATGATAAACTCAGCCTCAGTATGGTCCTCACCGCGGAAGTAGACCTTGTTGCATATGTCAAGAAAGACAGCAAGCGGAAGGAAGCGGCATATCCAGACCACTCTATAATCTCTTGAGTGTTCTAGGATTGTCAGCATTGATAGAGAGAAGCATGCGCTGGCCTACCTTTGACCCAGCGCAGAATTTGCACGATGGCTTCCAATGGGGGCGTCGGGATACTTTCCGGTGGCTCATGAGGTTTTGGCTGTTGGCTTCGTGTTATATCTGGGTTCTCTAAAGCATCCGCAAGACTCTTCAACGAAGAAACGGTGCTGCTCCACTCCGTGTCTCCTTGAACAGACCCATTGTCCCGAATAATGGACTGAACAAAGTCTATGATGTGGGCGGAGTAATCCCAGCGAGGAGGCAGAGCAGCTCTATCAGCGGATTGGGACTTCTTCGAATTGATTGCTTCAGCTGGACTTGGAGATACAAAAGGTGAACGATGTTGCTCCTGTGATGTTTGAGTTGATGTGGCTCTGTTGAGCTCGAGTCCCGCCAACAGAGTCTTAATGCTGCTGACGTCGCGGGAGATGTCGTCAATCTTTCGCTCGCTGTTTCAAAGTAATTAGGCGCAGAACGCTACAACCAATGGGACCCTAAATACTATTGTTCGGAGACCAAGACTCTTTGCCTGGCAGTGCTCTGCTTGGGCGCGATCCGGCTATGAGTGCAGTTGACACGTGCCGATACGCAGTTGGAACAAGGTGTTCCCCTGTCGCATCCAATCTAGGACATCTTAGAAGGCTTCAGATATACGAATGATTAGAGGTACCTTTCTCGCTCGACATTGATCACACTAACAAGCGAGTCAGTCATTGAACAGTGCTGCTAGAGAATGGTGGATGGTGATCGTACCGAGCGTCGACTGATCGCAGGGCGATTGAAGCCTCCCTTCTCAGTCGGAGATGCGCGGGATTCCATACCGATTTAGTAGATCGATAGAGGTTTGTCATTGATAGGGACTCGGTCATAGTGTTCAGAGAGAGGGGACTGTCCTGGCGATGACAAACCTCACGGAAACGCGCGGATTTCCAGGTATTAGTCAATTGTGGAGTCAGCCAAGCCAATCAGAATAGCCAAATCCACGTCTTGGTTCGAGGAGGATGGCCTTTGGCATGGAAATGGGCACCTAAAGACCGATGGAGACAATCACTATAAATGAATGTTTTCTGCTCAAGAAAAAGTACTCAGAACTCAAGAGACTCATAACTAAACAACAGTCTGCAATTTATTACATTACGTTTCTTCTCATCATGCCTCACAACGTCCTTGTTACTGGAGCCGCTGGCTACATGTAAGTGAAGTGTCTCGGTTGATCTCCCCCTTACTAATGGTCAACAGCGGTGGCTCTATCATCGCTGATATCCTTTCCCGTACCGATGAAACGCTGAAGGGCATCAACATTTTTGCGGCCGCTCGAACCCAAGATCAGGTCGATAAGATATCGAAACTCGACAGAGTCCATGCCTTCTTAGTCGACCTCCAAGATAAGCCTGCCGTGGAATATGCAATTGCGAAATATGAGAGTGAGCTTTTTGTTTGTTTCTTAGTTCATAGCGCCTGATAATCTTCTCAGTCGACATCGTCATCCATGCAGCTGGAGCCATTTTCCCAGACATGTTGTCGAACCTGCTCAGTGGTCTTGGAGACCGCCGCCGAGCTACCGGCAACAAGACATACCTGGTTCATGCAAGTTACTCCTACATATATCTGAAGTCTTCCTAACACTTCAAAAGTCTTCAGTCGCGTCCATGTTCACTGAGGAAGGTGGATGGCCTTTCGGAAAGGTCAAAGACTCTGATCCCCTCATCGATAGGCAGAGGGAGCTTGGCCTTGACAACCCTGTTCGAAAGGTAAGCCTGGAGCTTAATATGAGAGGTGACTGTTCATGCTGACAGAACCCAGACAAACATTGTTCTTGCAGATGAAGGAAAGGCCCAGGGCGTTGAGACTTTCAACATTCCCATCCAGCTTACTTGTAGATACTCTTGATATTGTCCATTCTGATACAGAATACTAATGTTAGCATAGATGGACGTGGAACTGGCGAGTGCAGAAAGCTCTCTGTCAATATTCCTGCTTTGATTCGGACAAGCATCAAATTGAGGACGGTCCATAAGTTCGATGTGGACTCGGTAAGAACCTTCCACCATTCACCTACCAAGAGGTTCCATTCTAACAGATTTCAAGACTCCTGGAAATGTGCATATCTCCGATCTTACGGATCTGTATATTCTTATCCTCAACAAGATCCTGAAAGAGGAGCCTATCGCTGTTGGAACTGAGAGATACTTCTTCTCAGTTGCTCATCGCGTCAGCTGGTGGAAGATCATGGATAAGATTGCCGAGGGTCTCTATGCCCGTGGTCTGGTCGACGAGCCAACACCAAAGATTTGGCCCAATTACGACGTGGCAGCTGATGCCCTAGGATTTCCACGAAGATTCATTCGTCCCATGTGTATGCCCAAGTAGGTTTCCCGTCGCCTCAAAATGATGCAATTGCTGACCAGTCTCAGTGGCGATCTCGAGCCGGCGAATGGGATCGCACTGGGTTGGAGGCCCAAACAGGACAACGAGCAGAACTGTCTGGACCAGATTGAACAAGAGATCAAGGATGTTGAGGAGCTGGATACTGTCAGAATGGGACTTTTTGATACTCTTATCGCCGAACAGAAACAGTAGTTTTCATTCGCCATTCGTAGAGGTCTGTCTTTAAGAATTATCACGTCGCTTTTGGTATACAGAGGCTCGGTAGGAAAGAAAGCTCGAGGCCTTGATCCTAAAGATTTAGATCACTTCTCATAAGTTTAGGATACCTTTTTATAAGTTTATCTTAACACTTTGCTTCAATGTCTAATGTTTTCCTACGACTCAAGGACGTTCTTATTCTTTAAACGGTGCTTAGGTCACGGTGACGTTCATGATGCCACTCTGCCGATGAGATCACAACATCCTGAAGCTATCGACTGGCTATGTCATTGTGGCCAACGATTGGCAACGGCTTCAGTGCCACCGCATACCTTTCTAACGTCGATTGACGTCGGTTCTGCATTCCCTTGATCTCCGTGATTCTGGATTAGTTAAAGTGGTGAGAAGATCAGTGCCGATCCGACGCGGAATGCGGTATGTGAAGAAATACGTCACTGCTGCCTGTCAATCAATCGGCAATGACAGGGCGTCACGTTGTTTAGAGGCAGAGACGGCTCCGAGTGGCTTTGCGTGACCAATAGCCACGGCGGCGCCCTGGAAAACTCTTCACGAACTACGCGAAAGGTTCTGCGACTCGGGGACTGAAAGACCCAAATCAACAAAGTCCATGGGGTAAACCAAATAGCTTAGCTATCAGTCTGTGTTCCACTTAAGTGTTAACCACTTCTCTTCCGTCCAACAAACCCAGCATCGAGTCTTGGCCAGTGTTCTCGCCCTTGCATCGGGTTCCTGCATCATGCAGCTGATGCAACTAGACCACCACGGACCTCTCCACAAAGTTCAAGACGCCTATAACAACGACGTAAATGCCCCAGATCATAGGTGGAACCATACCAAAGACGATCGAGGACCCTTTGCTGTCAAACCTTATCTACCCTTCCGATCTATCAGACCCTCCGGACAAGGAATGCAAATGTCGTCTAGCAAAACCTACCCCAAGCCTCCACGGGTTCCGCGCCCTGGCTAGTAATTGTCAAATCACTGACGATTTGCATTTCATGACGCTAGGCAAGGCTAGAGTCAGGGCGAATCGCCACGAAAAGCGCCGCCGCATTCCAGGGCACCGTCCGCATCCAACTTAGTGCCATGGCCTTACGGAACAATAAGACAAGGACGCATCCGTTGCGTGCCTTTTGTTTTCAATCTCATTACAATTCTGTCTCACCTTGTCTCTCATTCTCGGTGCAGTTGATACGCTCCTTATACAAAATGACTCTGACAAAGGCTTTTCCTCCACCTACGGGTGCAGCCGTGATCGTACGTTACATGTCTCACTTACATCGCTTGCGTCAGTGTAAGTGAAGTTTGGTTACTGATGTCTTGCAGGGCACGACCTTCAGCCTTCTCGCTTTCGCGGCTGTCATTATTGCTACTAGGTTCTTTTACCGACTGAGGATCCAGAGGGAGAAGTTGGTTACGAGTGACTGGTTTATGATCCTGGCATTATGTGCCGCTATATCGTGTGCGGCATTCGATGTTGTATTTTACAATCTCGATGTTCTCAGGCCTCGAATCAGTGTTGGCTTTGAGAACTACAACCCGGGTGAAGAGAAGGTTGAGTACATCTACAAGGTAAGATTTGTGCATGCATGCAGACTGCGATAGAGATAGAGACTAACATGCGTCAAGATGTCCTGGGCCAGCGAAATCCCATTCTACGCGACAACATATCTATCCAAAGCAATTCTTTTGTCTATGTACTTCCAGATCTTCCCGGCATTCATGGGAAGGCGTCGTAAGACACTCTGGATCACGGTATTTTACTGTGGTTTGGCATATGTCGCGACTATATGCATGCAGCTCTTTTCTTGTATGCCTCTTGAGAGGCACTGGTATGTCTTACAGAGATGTCTCACTTGTGGATCATTAACCGATATTTGGTAGGGTCATTACTCGACCATTGACCGCATGCGACTGGCGATGGCAGGGTATTGTCTTTCAGGTGTCTTGGGCTTTGTCTTTCCTGGGCAGTCTTCTCAGTACGTTGGCACCCTGTTGCTTGGTCAAACGTTTCGCTAACACAGTGTAGTCTTGATACTCCCATTTACTGTTGTTCATGATCTCGATTTAACGAAACGAGCCAAGCTTGGTCTGTACTTTGTGTCATTGGTCGGTCTTCTAGACATCGCTATCTCTCTAGTCCGATTCTTGAACGTGGAGCTCGGAGATAACGGGTCGTTCCGCTCCTTTAGCACGATCGGTAAGTTCTATCTCTGATGCACATTCCCATGATTGAGCTAATCCATTTGCAGAGCTATGGAGCTCCCTTGACGTCAACATCGGCCTCATCACAGCCTGCCTCCCCGCCCTCCGAATGCTGCTTGGACGTACCAGAAGGATTGACGACTACACGTTTGATGAAGCTAAGACCGCAAGGTCCTCTCGTGCCATGGAGCATCGCGAGCTGGAAGAGATCGAGGAGTCAACCTACCTTGGAGTCAACAGCGTTGGGCCCTCGAACCGATCTGCCAGAGTCTCCCAGAATGGTGACAAGACACCTGACCGAAGGCCCGAGCCCAGACCTGAGCCTGAGCGATCTTGGAAGGATCATGATGATGGCGACGATACCGACTTCGAGCTTGACAACATCAACGTTGAAGCTCTTACCAAGGACCAGGCACAATCGTACTGGTCCACTCCCTAGTTTCCTTTGTCACAAATATGTACTATACTGCCCCGGCCATCAGAAGCGTCGCCTGTTCATATAACCAGATAGTCTGTAAAATATTGTCAGTGTCAATACATTCAATGATTTGTCATCTCATAAGTATCTTGGACCATCATCGTGTGAAGGTACCATCTGTGCTATGCGAAGATAACGCCGCATGTCGCAGTAAACGCGCGACCTATGTGTGTCATGATTGCTGCACTCTTATCCAGGATTGGCATGAAAACAATCATCAAGGGAGACTTTATTTAGAAGTCGATTGTATTAATTATTCTCCCTTGGTTGCGAGCATTTCGCATGGCGCAGTAGATGATGCCCTTTCATAGAACACGCCAAACCAACGCGTCGCGTCGCGTGATTCTAACTCGAACTCAAGCGGAACAAAAGACGGTTCAGACGCTTATAATTCTAGACTAATCTCGATCTTAATTCTATTACCTCAAGATGGCTTCTTACTGGATTCACCAGGACTTGGGAAAAGTCTCTCCATTCGTGGCTTTGTCGTGGATTGTCACTGTCGCGCGCATGTCGCGTCCCGCTAAATGAACTAGCACTTGGTATCTTTTCACAGTCTCTTCGTCACTATCTCCCTGACCTTGTTGAGATCCAATGCCTCGACAGTGCGTCCTTTGTATCCAGTCATAGTTTCCGCCATGCATAGAGCATTGCAAATGGCTTCCTCAGTCGCGTCAGCAACGGCCTCAAACGCGCCATTGATCGTCTCATTGTGCACAGACCCCACCTCGAAAGACGTAGGTTTGAAAGGGTCCAAATCTCCACCTTCAAGACGCTGCATTGTGATCTTCGCAGCTGTAGAGAAGGCTAAGAAGATGTCGCCTGAACCGTTGCTGCCATAGCCGCCGACGCGTGACAATCCTACCGTGGCGCGCTTGGCAAGCCGCTGAAGTTGAACTGGGAGCAGGGGAATATCTGTAGCAATGATGATAATGATGCTGCCGTCGACATGAGGCCCGTGAATCGCGGGCGCTCCCGACGAGGAGGGCGATTGAGCTTCTGATATCAGAATTCTTCCAACTGGGACACCACCAATGTGAAGGTCTTCCTTGAGCCCATAATTGGCTTGAACGAGTACACCAACGGTGTAGTCCTTCGCGTTTCCTTTGCTGTCTATTCCAGGTACAATACGGCTGCTGGAGCCTGTACCTCCCTTGAACCGATGGCATATCATTCCCGTGCCGCCTCCAGTGCAACCTTCGGGTACCGCATCAGCAGACGCATTGCGAATACCCCGGACAACATGATCTGGGGTCAATGCAAAGCGGCTTTGCTTGTTGAGGTATCCATCGTATGTCTCAGTCACGACAGGGAACGCAAATAGGTACACATCTCCCTCCTTAGTTGCATGATACTTGGCCGCATAATCGTACACGCCTCGAAAGGCATCTCCAATTGAAGAGTTTGTCGTCAGAATAATTGGTGACGTTAATGTACCCGACTCCTCAATCCAGTGAGAGCCTGTCATCTCCCCAGAGCCATTGAACTTGAAGATGGCAGCGTGACATGAGTAGTCGAACCAGTCTGCTCGAGGAAGAACAGTGGTGACTCCAGTGTTGACATCCTGGTCAGGCTGGATTGACTCGGTGTGAACGAGGACACCAGGGACATCGGTGATGGAGTTTAGATGACCTGGCTGCCATCTGCCCAAGTACAGCTCAGGCAGGAGTTCCCGGAGACGAACTCGCTTGGAGAGATCCAGACCGCCACCCATAATAACGATGTTGTAACAGCGAGTACCTTGGAGGATTGAACTAGAGGAATCAAACTAACAGGATTAACAAGAACACAGAAAGTACTTCATAATGGCAAGACAGGAGGATTATAAATAAAGTCATCTACTTCGGTTTTCGCATTTCAACAAAAGTTCCCGCATTTTCGGGATCCTTTTTTCGGCTTTGAATGCCTTTCCAAGGCGTAAGCTGATCCTTTGATGATGAATGTCTTACGCGCCTTCCTTCTATGGAGACTTGGTGCGATGGAAGAGGTGAAGCACTGCGTTGCTTACCCTAGATAAGACGAGATTCAGGCTAAAGCTCTGCGTTCAATAAGCAAGGGAAGGTGATTATTGCTCTGCAAATGACTGATTACTTGGTTGTTTATTCACAGTCAATTCTACATAAGGACTCACAACAAATATTGGAGTTGCGACTGTTTATACACTGCTTTCAAGTTTTGAACGGGCCTTGAGATCACCGCATCACATTGATGCACAGAAGAGCTGATTTGGCGGGAAGAAGATTACCTGATCCGGACTAGTGAGCTTCGTTATCTGTTAAGATATACTCTT